ATGAAATAGATGCGCACCACGTTTAAGGTTATTTTTTGCATTTTGAAAACGTGGTTTTTTAGATTAATTTTTTAATCTACTTTTCATGAATTTTTTCTAATGGCGAACCAAATTTATGCATTTCAATGAAAGGCTTTATCCTGTTTCAAAATAAGGCAATAATTTGCTATAGTATAATGATGTCCAAGAGCTTAGAAATATCCCACAGAGCAGCGCCAGAAAGATGCGTAAGAAATCGTATTTATTGCAGCTTACATGAAATGCTTTTCCGTCAGAAAATGCCTGTCTTAGTTGACCATGGAAACTTTTGTGAGATAATTTAAAAATGCCTGAAAGCCACTTGTTTCATGTCCATGTTCAGGTGGTGGATACAATTGAATTTAACGGTTGTCATGTCAGGAAAGGAACGATTTTTATGTTTCGCAATTCAAATCCCAGCCTTGCCACATGTTGGTGTGCGAACAAGTGAAAAATAGTTTTCATTAAGTTTTTTTTTGCCTTCGTGAGACGGTAGATGAAAAATGCCGCTGTAATATTTAAGAAAAGAAAAATAAACTTACTGATGAGTGAGTTAACGATGAAAAGGTTAACGCGCGATTCATTTAGAAGCCGATCGAGTTTTTTTCTTATTTTTTTGCTGGGGGTAACTATTTTATTTTATTTTTCTATTTTTATGAATGGTTTCATCCTTCAACTGGTCTTTAAAGTGCTTGGAATTTTTTTTTTGCCTTTTGCAGGGTTAAACGACTGTTACATCACGATCGCACTGGGCAAGGACAAATTCATCACGTCTGTCCAGGAGAAAACTTTGGAGCCGCTGTGGCATGAAGAATGTGAATTGTAAGTTGTTTTTTTTTGTTATTTCTTTGATTATTTTATTTTTTCGTGTGGTTCCTGCTGTAGGTAATCGTGGCACAGTTTAACTTGTATCCCATGACATCGATGTTTCTGGGAAAAATTGAGTTATAGCTTGAAGAACTTCAATCCGTGAACCTTGTATTTTCGAAAGGATTCGATTCTTTGTATATCATGACGCGAATCAATTTTGGCCACCCATATTTTTTTTTTTTTGTGTGTGGACTGTTTAGTTTAAACAAATGTTCCATTCGGAATTATTCTCCTCTCAGCTGAAGTTTCGAAAAATGATTTTCTTGGAGTTCTGCTCGATTTCGTTTGCTTTTAAACATTCTTTTTTTTTTCTTTACCACAGTAGCTCGAAGATTTTATTAAAATCAGGATTGACTGCAACACTACTGCATTTATAAACTGAAGAGTGACGACGATATTCTACGTCAATTAAGTTATCATATCGGATTCGAAAAAAAATCAGCTTCAGAATTTGTGACGTGCAAATTTCTCGCTCGAAATTGGGATTATAGGTTAAAGAGATTTGATGAAAAGAACGTTGCAGTTTTTGAATTAAGATTGTTGTGTGTTTTAAAATGCTTTCAAGGTGGATTTACTGGATTAAAGATTTAGTTTAATCTTTTTAGGCAGGTCATTGACAAAAATTTTGCAGGTGCGCTTGGTCAATAAGAGATTAAAAGAAAGGTGATGAATTTGATTTCGACCTCGTTCTTACTCAACGACCGCTTTTTTCAGCATAAAATGTCTTGAAATGAGGCTCAATTTATGAATTTAAGTGATTTTTGAGGTATTTTCTAAAAATGTGAGAATCTTATTTTTTTTTTTTTTTTTTAATGCAGTAGACAGATTTGCTCGTGAATCTTTTCCTTGCAGTTCATTCCGGGGAAGAAAAATTACTGTATGTAGGAGAAATCTCGAGGTTAATCTCGGGATATGGACTTTCAGTCGGTTCGCCTTGTTGTTGTGCCCTGATTTTTTTTTTTTTTTTTAGTTCCCTTCATTGTTTTCAAATTTGCCTCTTTGTACAGGGCCATTCCGAAACGTGGCAACGTCGCTGTGCTGGTTTTCACGGCACATCACCGGAATAAGCTGGGAATGGACGACTTTTTGGGCGAGGTCGCCATCCCGCTCAACCAGCTTGACTTCCACGCCCCAGCAAGGAACAGGTCAGTAGTTCACTTTCCTTTTTTTTTTTCTTATGCCACATTCCTCTCCCCCCCTTGGGTTTCATAGATAATTCCGAATATTAAAATAATATACATTGAGACCCCCACACCTCGACATGGGGACAATTTGAGATAGGGACATTTATTTTTCAATGAAAAAATCATAAAAAAGGCCCGACATATACAGACACTGACTCAACATGAGGAAATTGCATGATAAAATAGCCAATAAATTTTAGGAAAATTGACTTTTATTAGGCTTCATTGCAAGAAACAGATATTTCCAACCCTAAGATCTATGCAATACAAATTCTTTGGTACTTTTGCCATCACTTTCCCATCCATTCAGCTAATTTAAAAAAAATTACCTGTGGCACAAAGGGACTTCCTTTTCTTTTTGTGACTTGGATGTTATTTTTACAGATGCCAAAATTTCAATGAACTGTACAGCAGTATACTATTCAATGCTCCAGATGTTCTTATTGGGTTTAAAAGATATTCACTGAATCAAATTCAAGTGGCAAAAAAATTTTTCATGGAATTCTGAAAAATATTTCTTCCATAAAACACTAATTGAAAATTATTTAATGTAAGTCTACGGGAAAACAAGACTCAACCTAGGGACATTTCAACTTAGGGACATTTCAAGTTAGGGACACTCTTGATGCACCAATTATGTCTGCATCTGGGGGTTTCACTGTATCTTGAATGTCTTTGGCTGTACCCTGGTGTCCCCAGGCTGATATGTTTTCTTTTTATCGCATAGATGTCGCCTCAATTTCGATGGGTTGGATTAGGCGTGTTTCCGGTTTGGTTGCCATGTTTATGATTGTACGAGGGTTGTCCCAGTTCGACGCGACCTCTGATGCTTTTAGAGTACTGTAGTTTTGATTTTTTTTATGGCGTGTTCTCCTTCCATGTCAAAGGGTGCTAAAAAAATTTTAGGCGAGCTAAGAAGAATTGAAAATTGGATTGTTTTAACCAGCAATACTGTATATAAAATTAAAAAATAATGGGTAAGACTACTCCAACAAGGATATATTTGTCTTATTTAAAATTAATACTTTTTTGAGGCCTTTAATTGTAGGTTGAAAAAACTCTTGACCTGTCTCAATGAACTTCAGTTCTGCCTTCTTACAGTGATACCTTGGAGATCCAAAACCTCTCAGGACATAATCTTGAACAAATATGTATTTTTTGTAATGTTTCCCCCTTTACTGAATTCATCAAGTGTGACCTTTCATATCCACACTCTTCAAGTGACCTGCCCTGATCAAAAGATGTATGAACTTGGTCATGCTTTATTTTTGGTCTGTTCTCATTCTTCATGGCTGAAAAGCAATTTAAATGTGCTGTAGTTGGGGTGGAAAATATGAGAGTCGCGCCATTTGTGGATTACGCTTGTAAATCTTTAGAGAGTGTGTGTGTGTGTGTGTGTAACAAGAGCAGTTGGAATGTGGTGCCAAGGTGAAGAAAATGTAAATTCGAAAAAGAAACCCAAGTGCAATGTGGTTGAACCAACCAGCAGCAGCAGCAGTGGCGAAGAATGAGATGTCTTTTATTCAGCGACGTGTGAGGTTTCAACTTTCACAGTCTGATGTAATGTATAGTCAAGATGTCCTTCGTTTTGGACAGTTTAATGCAATGTGCTGTCTTTTTTCCTTCGTCTGTCAGATATATATATATATATATATTTTATGAAAAGTCAATGGAGACGCCCTGGTGCGACGCAGATGAATTGCAGTTCTGGCCTTGTGATATGTTGATAATTTGAGTTTCATCAGAGCTTATGCGCAGGTACTTGAGAAATTTATTTTTTTATTTTTTTGCATTCCGATTACTGCTGAATCATCATCAGTTCGCGCGATCACCGCGAATCTGTTTATGTCTCTAAAGTTCGGACAGATGTCACTCACAGTTGGCATCTTGTAGGATTTTTATGTCGAGTCATCTCGAGTTCCATCTGATGCTTCTGGATTCCACCTTCAGTCATGGGCTACAGATCATCAGAGTATTTCGATTACAGTTTCATTTGAGTTTCATTTACAGTGGTTGACTCGCTGTACTGAGTGTCTTTCCTTCCAGAAATCCATGTTCTGTATTGTGCCGAAACGAGAAAATATTCTCAAGTTTGTGTATCTTTATTTGTTGCTGGGATGACTGTAAATATTTGAGCTGGAATACGATAGCAGATGGAATTTGAAATGACTCTTCGCACAAATGATGAAAATTGCGAAAAATGTTCTCAGTACTGTATTGTAAAAAAAATATTTTAGGTTCATTGAATGCAGTACAGTATTGTTAAATAGAACAGACAGTGTATGTACAGTTGAAGTTTATTGATAAATCGAACCTCGCCTTGTCAATTTTTTTTTCAAATCCCTGTCTGCATTCCCTTTGAAAAAAATGCATTTTAAACCTCCCTAACTCAAAGGCTTATTTCCCCCTTGAACCTGCATAACTAGGATTTTCTGGAGGGCTATTTGGGCTATTTTTTTATTGATACAGGAAGCAAAAATAATTAAAAATAGAACCCAATTTATTTTGAAAGGAGATGAAAAACTAATTGGACAAATTAACCCTTGTCTCCAAGTTCAGCATCCTGTCAATTCATTAAAGAAGTAATATAAGGCCCAGTATATTACCAATCACAATTTCTTTCAATTATTCTTCCTTTCCCCCAGCAAAAAATGCTTGTTATCCCACCTGGAAACCTCCCTTACTCGAATTTTTTTCTGGTCCCTTTAAGTTAGACCTGGATGAGAGGTTCGAAAGTACAGTATTCTACAGGACAAGCGTGGATGGGATATTCTGATACAGTGACCGTCAGTGAAAATTACGGAGATCGGTAGAAAGCTTTTTCTTTCTCCTCTCGTAGATGTCGCCGATTGTTGGAAACTCCCGCACAATTCATGAAATCCCATCGCGACGACATCCATGAGAGAAAAATTAACTGCAGTAACTGTTTTCCAAGCCAGATTTAGGCCTTATCTTTTTCGTGGATGTCATCAGTGAGAGACATAAAGATGGGGAGGAAGCTGTTCATTTTGTAGTCTTGTAGATGTCGCCTCCTTGAAAAAACCGTCAGAACTCGTGAAATCCCATCGCGGTGGCGACATCCAAGAGAGAAAAAACTAATTGCAGTGTTACGCTTAATGTTTGGTTAAATCCGTTTTGTAGATCTCGTCATTGAGAGGCCCTAAGATGGCGTGTAATCCGTTTGTTTTATCGTCATGTAGATGTCGCCTGCTTATGAGTGTTGAATTTCCATTGGCGAATCGGAATCAAATACGGTAGTAAGCCTTTTGTTTGTTTAATTTCAGGTGGTACAGACTCATGGGCCGCGGAGGGAAAGAAGATGGGAAACCCCGCGGGGAACTGGAAGTGAAAATAGGGTTCACTTACCATGAACGCAGTGCGGATGACGAACAGTTCCTGGGTGTGCCGGGTTCCGAGGGCCGTGGCAGTTTCGGCAGCCTCGCCGACGACAACAGCAGCACCTCGGGCAAAAAGAAGAGCCCGTCTTTGCTCAACGTGTCTTCTCACCTGGCCCATCAGTTTGGTGGGAGTCTCATGAACTTGGGTGAGTGTTTTTTTTTCTTCCCTTCTGTCTCATCTGTCCTGATGAGGATGAAATTTCCCATAAGATTCCAAAAATAATTGAAGAGAAAAATATTATTCTACTGGGACACTCAGGGAACTTGGAGCTCGGTTTTTGGAAGCTGAAGAGCGCTATTCATCTCTTTGAAAAACACAGTACAGTACTTCATCTTCTTTCGATTTCTCTGATGGACTTCCTTTTGATTTTATAAATTCCTGATCTTCTTGTATCATTTAAATCTTATAATTATTTCATAAATCTCGCAGTTTGTCGAAGCCTTTGTATAGGATTCCCTCACAAACGTCTCGCGTGCACCAAAATGTTGAAGCACAAGCATTTTGTTGATCTGTCATTCATTTAAAAATTAAAAATCGAAATTGTCAATTTCTATGATGACCTTCCTTTGGATATTAAAATTCTTGATCTTATTATCCTTTCATTCTTATAATTATTTCGTCAATCTCGCAGTTTGTCTCAGCCTTTATATAGGATTCCCTTACAAACGTCTTACATGCTCCAAAACGTTAAAACACTAGATTCTTTTTTAATGTTTGATCCATTTAAAAATTTAGAAGCGCTCCCAAAACTGACCATTGTCGATTCAATTGTTTACAAATTATGAATGACCCTTATTAAGGTTCGAGAGTCATTAATTATTTTCTTTCGATGTTGGCTCAGTCAGTAAGTAGAGGCGTCCGAATGAAAATAAGTCTAAAATTCATTATTAATCTCTGAAGTTCTTGATGAAAGTGAGAAGCTTCCATCACTTGGGGAAAAAACAAAACCCCAATACAAGATGGATTCGTCATGTAAGGATATCTCCATGTTAGGTTTATACATAAGTGCTGGATAACGAAAAGAAAAGCTATCGAAGGACGTGTGGTGCAAAATTATCTTCTCGCGCAATTACTTGCTTGCTTCGTAAATCCTTCTCTGCAGCAGAAATCCAGTAGATGGAAAATCTGCGAATTGTCCATCTACCAGCATGTAACGTCTGATCGGAAGTTTCAAACAGCTCCTTTTACCCGTGGGCACAAAAGCAAAAAAATAAAAAAGCATGGTTTTCTTCGCGCATCATCAGAAATCCCGCGAGAGTTCAGACAACCTGAGGCTGTTGGGCTCGGAAAAGGATAGCATTTTATCGGAGAAACCACGGGGTTTGAAACGCGGGAAATTGGCCTGTTTCATGCATCGTGTGTCCGTGTTTGCAGGGAAAAAGGTGAAGCGGAAAACGTCGAGCAGGAACAAGAAGAACAAGCGCAAGGACTCGGATGCCGTGAGCGAAAGCGCCTTTTCCAGCAACGCGGACCCGGGAGTCAACAGTGACTCCGAAGAAGACGAGGCCTTCAAGGACGAAATTGCTGTTAGAAAAATCACTTTACTTCTTTTTCGTTTTTCACTTTATCAGTTTCATTTTCTTTTTTTCTTTTATTTTTGTTTTTGCTAGTTTTAGAAGTGTAAATTTGGGTTTTCCTGAATTTCGATAGAGAAGTTCGATTTAGTGCGCGGTACTGTAATTTTTAAATTTATTTGATTTGATTACGTTCCATTTTTCTTCCTCAGTTTTTTTTTTCTCCTTGAAATCATACAATTTTTCTAAATTTTTTCTAGAATTTGAACTTTTCAAGTACCAAATATCTTTTTTATACTGAATTTTATTCGCCGAATTTGAACAGTGAACAGTATTTTTAACTCATTCGATTTGATTACGTTGATTTTTTGCTCGAAATTTTAGAATTTTTTTTTCCATTTTTAGAAGCGTAAATTCGATTTTCCCTGAATTGTAAACGCGGAATTTGATTCGATGTACAGGGTTTTTTAAAGTTTTTTTTTTTTGGATTCCGTTTCATGTTTTCCCTCAGGTTTTATTCTTGAAATCTTATATTATTTTCATTTTTCTAGATTTTTAAGTTTAATTTTTTTTCGAAATTTTAATCGCGGAAATCAATTCAGTGTGCCGTAATTTATTTTTTGAATATTTGATTTGATTACGTTTCATTTTTTCCTGCTTTGCTTCTTGAAATTTTCGAATTGTTTACCTATTTGTACATGAGCGTAAATTCGATTTTTCCTGAATTTTAAACGCGAATTTCGATTCGGTGCACAGTTTTTTTTTTAATTCGCTTGTTGTGATTCCGTTTCATGATTCTTGCGATCTTAAATTGTTCTATTGTCTCTAGAATTTCAAGTTCGATTTTTTTTTCTGAATGTTGATCGCGGAATTCGATTCTATGTACAGTACTGTACTTTATTTCAATTCAATTGCATTGATTCTGTTCGATTTTTAATTTTTCGTCAGTTTTTCTTTTGGAAGTCCTGGAAGTTTTTTCTGGTTCCCTGCAAAAATAATAAGCCTTACGTAGTATTTCCGTCATAAATTTGAAGAAGAAAAAATGCAGGAATTATTCTCCTGAAAGCTCGGGTGACGCGGGAGGAACATCAGCTTAGATTTGAATATTTTGAACGACTTAAATAATTTAAACGGAATAAATGCTCGTTTTTTATCGTTTAAAATAATCCAAGCTCATCCATTATTTGATCTTTCCTTTTTTTTCCAGTCGACAGTTTCTGCTGCGAGTTCCGGAGCCGGTGGCTACGACGCAGGAATCCATTCCCATTCCGGAAACACGAGCAGCAGCAACAACAGCACCACTGGAAACAACAACACGAACAACAACAATAACATCAACAATAACAGCAACCCCGTGGGCAACGTTAAATCCGGGCCCTTACACGAAGACATGGCGAGTGACGCGTTTTATCGACGACTGGAGTACAACGATTTCTACGAACAGCCTCGACGATCCGTTGAACCTTCCCCGCCAACTACAACACGGGATTTCACGGGTAAAAATTATATATATATTTTTTTTTTTTCAACAGACAAATGTCCGTTTCTGCACTGTGNGCAAATCGCGGCGGGTCCAACAGATCCAACAGTGGCGTCCTCTCTGCGCGACGCAGCGAACTTTTGTCGTCGACTGGCGTCAGTGCTGCAACAGGCGGCGTGAACATCGAAGAAGATTTGGGCGGCCGAGGATCAACAACGGCGTCCGCGAGAAGCTCAGCTCAGCCCTCGCCTCTGGTCAAGAAGGCCAATGACAGAAATGAGTCCCCTGTGAGCATAAATATACTTTTTTCGTGTGTGTGTGTGTGTGCGTCAAGCATGATTCATTTGAATTTTCTATTTGTCAAAAAAAAATGTCGTCCTTATCCCGCAGAAGGTCAACGAAAAATCTTGAAAATAATTTGTGATACCGTCATTTATTGAGAATCGTCTTGCGGTACAAAAAGTGGTGTTCATTTTTTTTAGATCAAGATTCTGTTTAAAAAAAAAAAAATTGCGTACAATGTTCAAGATTAACAGTTCTCAGATTTGAACAGATTTTATCAACTTCGGGTTGGAGAATATCATTTTTGATGGCGCTTTTGATATTTTTAAAAATTAATATTTTTTTCCTATTGCTGAGTTAATTTCAAGGACCCTCTCTCGTCTCAAAAAAGCCCTTATTGCATAACTTTTTTATTAGGTTATTCTTTGTAATGATTTCAAATTTATTTTTGAAAACGATAAAGTAAAATTCCTGCTGACCACCAAATTTAATTTTCCTTAATAAAATGATGATGTGTGTCGTTTTGAACGTGATTTTTGTGAAACTCCGCTGTGCGAACAATTCTCATGATATTATGTGAGAAAATC